AGGGTTTAAGGTTTAGGGGCCTCAATGATTCAACTCGGATCAAGGATATTTTGCTTAAGAGCCCTAGATCCGAAACTGCCCCATAAAACCTGCAGAACACCATAAATAAAGCCCTCCAAACTCCAAAAGCTAGACATAGCTAGCCACAAAAAAGCCCGGAAACCTGAATGCTGTGCTGGATGATTTAATTTCGGCCGCCGGGTTTGTGGGTTTGGAGTGCGGCGCAGAATGCGATACTCCCTGACCCTTGAACAATGCCACAAAACCTGAGAAGCCCGAAACGCGATGCCCCAAACCCTGAACCTTCACCCCTGAAACCCCGATATAAGGGCGCAGAAAATCAGAATAGGGCCCTGGAGGTGTGTTACAGTCGTAAGGAACTCTAAAAAAAAAACTTAGCAGTTATTCAGACTTCTATAATTTCTATACTATACTTGTTGCAAATGGGAATTTAACCCCAAACCCTGCTAGAAGCCAAGAGGACCCTCTAACTCCAAGCATGGTTCTTCAGAGCCTTGAATCCTTGTGTCTCGAAACGCAGGGGCTTCCGCGCTCGGGTTTGGGGGGTCTAGGCTTGAGGAATTAGGATTTAGTGTTCCGGGTTGAGGGTTTAGCGTTTAGGGCTGCTCAGGATTACAAGCTAAAGGGTTTTGGGTTTAGGGTTTGGGGTTTAGAAGCAGTCTGGGGTGAAATGTAAGGGCGTCAGCCAATAGAAGAGGGTCTCTAGCACATCATACCAAACGTATAAGAGGGATCCCTAAAATATTATATAACTCATCATTCAGGCACCCATAGTAGGGTGTTCGCGAGGTTTCCTGCGCTCAGGGCTGCTCAGACAACTAAAGGGGTCCCAGCCTTGTTGTGGGATCCTTACTATTGATTTGGAGTTTACATGAAGGCCCCGTCTTTGCTGAAAACCCTCAGTAAGGGTTTTTATATAGAGCGATCCAAAAAGCATACAAAACCCCTTAACTCCTATGTGGACCCCTTCTCTTGGGTGCTTCAGCGCGCTTCGGGGTCTAAGGGTTTTAAGATTTAGGGTTTTAGGGCGTTTAAGGCTTTAAGGTCTATGGTTTAGGCTTTCAAATTGCAGGTTGAAGGGTGTATGGTTTAGGCCTGGTTTCAATGTAACTGCAAACCCTGCTGAACCCCAGAAGAGCTTAAACACTGATACCCTAAGCCCTAGGACAGAAGTTTGCATAGATAGACCAGGGCCTTCCTGCAGCCGAAAGAAAAAACCTACCTTTTTCTGGGGTTCCTGTATTCTGATTTCTTTATATGGGAGTTTCCGAAAATTAGGGGTACCTTATTCTGGGGTCCTTATAATGGGGATCCTATTAGTTAGGGTACTATATTAGGGTCCCCTATTCTCGCAAACCCCCATATAGTTCCTTCAAAAGGTAGGCTTTTTGGGCCCAGAGGTTGGGCTTACAAAACACAAGCCACGTGACTGCACCTGACTAATTGGAACAGGGTTTTGGGGCCCGTCAGTTCTAGTCATGATAAGGAACCCCCCAAAATGGTCTAGGTAATTAGAACGGCCCCTATGGCCCTAAACCCTAAACCC